CAGCAAAGAGCTGAGCTGGAAGGGACCTTGGGAATCAACTAGTACAACTTTCTAAGTTTACAAATGAAAACACTGAGGCCAGGATGGAAAATCACTTGCCAAACTTAAAGTAGCAAGTCTGAACGGCCACCCAGTGCCCCTTCTGCCCCTTGAAGGCACCAGGCCTGCATTCTTGCTGAAGCTTCTCTAAATGTGGTGCCCACTCTACCAATCATGGGTGTTGCTAGAGACCTCCATGCCATAGAAGGAGACCCTGGGGCTCGGGATATGTAGCCCCACATACTCCTTATTTTTTGTTTAGGAACTCAGCAGGATCTCTCATTACAGGAATGAGAGAGGGAAGAAGAGGAAGACTACTTGGTTTTATCCCTGGAAACAGCACCATCTGGATAAGAGAGGGATCCCGTACCCGGCCCCATCTTTGGAGCCTCCAGGCCCATTGCTTAGGACCCCCCTTCCTCCAGGCTGTGTCTGGAAGTGTCAGAACACCTCCTCCATCCATTTGCTCCTGGGCCTGGCCTGTGTCACCTGCGCTGTAACTTCTGTCTCCCTAGGGGTGGATGTGGACAGCCCCTGGGGAGACTCAGAAAAGATTCAGTAAGAAGAAAAATGCTTCTCACTCAGCCTTGGGAAAGGATGGGTCTATCTTCCCTGTCTCAGGACCTTTTGCTCCAGAGACTCTAAAGAAAGAACTAGACACATGGAGAGACCCACTCAGAAGCAGAGAGAGAAGTCGACAGGGTATTTTAACTGGGCCATATTTAAATGTGCCAGTCTCATGCTATCTCCTTACCAAACTCCCTAGGACGAAACAACCTCTATCCAGAGAGACAGGGTGAATGTCCACTACCAGGAGGCCTGAGGGGTGGCTTTATTCTCTGGGCCTTTGCCTCTGAGGAGCTCCTCCTGCTTCCCCCTGATTAGAGGGCTCAAGAGAAGCCAAGAGAGATTTGTCACTGTGTCCCCTGCAGCCCCTGCCCTGCACACACCTGATCCCTACCATTACCATCCTAAATGTCCACAGCCTGCCCCCAGCCAGCGCTCTTCCAGGGAGGAGGACCCTGTTCACCCCCACTCTCACCCTGTGACGATCTCAAAGGGCGGCAGCTCAATCAGCTCCTTCAGCTTCTCAGGATCCTCCAGGTTCTCCGGGTCCTCCCCATTCTGGGAGGCGGGCGCCGCGGCTGCAGCGGCTTCTTCTTTCTGGGCCATGGAGGGGTTGTGGCTCAGGAGTCACTGAGAGACAGGAGAGGTGACTGTCTGGGCCAGGGCCTGGCGGCAGGGTCCCAGCAGCTGTCAGCAGCTAAATCTGGCTGGGGATGATGGGAGGAGGCCAAGCTTAGTGCTGCCACCCCCTCTGCCACAGGCTTTATAACCAGAGACCTCCTGCCCCTCCCCTAGGCCCTCGCCCTCAGTCTTTTTTTAATTGAGTGACGGCGGAGGGAATGGAAAATCTGGTCATTAGTGTCCCCTATTTATCAGTAGGCAAAGACAGGAAGCTGGCAGGTGGGGATGGCTTGGCCTGCTCTGCACCCCCACCCCCAACCCTAGCAGGCTCACACATATATTCTCTCCCTCTCTCCTTCCTGACCTCATATCCCTCCCTTTGTTACCCACCCAACTTTCCTATTTCCACTGAGGTGGGTTTCTGGACGGGGCTTCAGGGTAGGGGTCCTGAGATTTTAGGAGAGAAACTCTCTCGGAAGCTTAAGCAAGATGGAGTGTGCCAGAGGGGGTGGTTGCAAAGACTTACTAGGGAACTGGGATTCAGGAAAGGAGAACCTGTTTGGACAGAACTGTCTGAATTGTGACTCAAAGGGCTGCTGATTTGCCTGTTATGAACCCACAGAGCAGTGTCAGATCTACCGGGAGCCTCCAGTAGTAACGAGTTGCCACTGACTATGCTTAGATTTCTTGAAATGGGCCTGGCGGTGAGTTTAGTGGTCTACATGTGGAATGGGACTTAATGCTCTCAACAGCCCTGGGAGACAATGTGTAGTATCCCCATGTTGATGTTGTTAGATGCAGCCAAGTCAATTCCAACTCATTGTTAGATGCAGCCAAGTCGATTCCAACTCATAGCGACATGTAAGAGTAGAATTGCCCCATAGGGTTTTCTAGGCTGTGATCTTTATGGGAGCAGATTGTCAGGTCTTTCCTCCCACGGAGCCGCTGGGTGGGTTCTAATCGCCAACCTTTCAGTTAGCAACCTAACGCTTTGCCCTTGCGCCACCAGAGCTTCTATCCCCATGTTACACGTGGGGAAATGGAGGTTCACAGGCTCCAAATAGGGTTGGATTATCAAACACTTATGCTCATCAAAAAACTTCACCAAAAGAGTAAAAAGACAGCCTACAGACTGGGAAAAAATTTTTGGCCATGACAAATACGATCAGTGTCTAATCTCTAAAGTCTACAAGATACTGCAAAACCTCAACAACAAAAAGGCAAATAACCCAGTTAAAAAATAGGCAAAGGATACGAATCGGCACTTTGCCAAAGAAGATACTCAGGCAGCTAACAGACACATGAAAAAGTGCTCACGATCATTAGCCATTAGAGAAATGCAGATCAAAACTGCAATCAGATGTCATTTCACCCCAACAAGACTAGCATTAATCCAAAAAACACAAAATAATAAATACTGGAGAGGTTGTGGAGAGACTGGAACACTTATACAGTGTTGGTGGGAATGTAAAATGGTACCACCACTTTGGAAATTGATTTGGCGTTTCCTTAAAAAGCTAGAAATAGAAGTACCATACAATCCAGCAATCTCGCTCCTTGGAATATATCCTAGAGAAATAAGAGCCGTCACCAGAATAGATATATGCACACTCCTGTTCATTGCAGTACTGTTCACAATAGCAACAAGATGGAAACAGCCTAGGTGCCCATCAACGGATGAATGCATAAACAAATTATGGTATATCCACACAATGGAATACTAGGCAATGATAAAGAACAACGATGAAGCCATGAAACATCTTATAACACGGAGGAATCTGGAGGGCATTATGCTGAGTGAATTTAGTCAGTCACAGAAGGACAAATACTGTATAAGACCACTATTATAAGAACTCAGGAAAAGGTTTAAACACAGAAGAAAACATTTCTTTGATGGTTACGAGGGTGGGGAGGGAGGGTGAGGGTTATTTACTAACTAGATAGTAGATAAAAATTATCTTAGGTGAAGGGAAGGACAGCACACACTACTGGGGAAGTCAGCACAACTGGACTAAACCAAAGCTAAGAAGTTTCCTGAATACACTCAAACACTTTGAGGGACAGAGTAGCAGGGTAGGGGCCTGGGGACCATGCTTTCAGGGGACATTTAGGTCAATTGGCATAACAAAGCTTATTAAGAAAATGTTCTGCATCCTACTTCGGTGAGTAGCGTCTGGGGTCTTAAAAGCTTTCAAGTGGCCATCTAAGATGCATCAACTTGTCCCAACCACCTGGAGTAAAGGAGAATGAAGAACATCGAAGACACAAGGAAAGTAGTAGCCCAAGAGACAGAAAGGGCCACATAAACGAGAGACTTCATCAGCCTGAGACCAGAAGAACTAGATGGTGCCCAGGTATCACTAATGACCTCCCTGACAGGGAACACAACAGAGAGTCCCAGATGGAGCAGGAGAAAGGTGGGGTGCAGAACTCAAATTCTAGGAAGAAGACCAGACTTAATGGTCTGAATGAGACTGGAGGAACCCTGGAAAGCATGGCCCCTGGATTCTCTATCAGCCCAGAACTAAAACAATTTCCAAGTCTAACTCTTCAGACAGGGATTGGACTGGACTATGGG